GGGCTGATCTGTGCGGAGGAGCATTGGGGCCGGTGTCTCCTCGCATCCCTGTCAGCTTGGTGTCACTGAGCATCACTTTGCTGTCAAAAACCTTCTTCTCCTGCGCCTGGCCGAGCCCCCGCCGCTGCTCCCCCTTTCCCCAGCCACATCTCGCTGTCAGGGGAGGAACAGGAAGATTGATGGCTCAAGGTTCCCCGTGCGTGGTGTTGGCACCGAGTCAGGGGGTTTATAGCAGCACGTTGCCTTTTCTCGCTGAATGTTGATTAATGGAGCAGGCGGGAGCCGCTGCTGTCTCCCAGCTCCGGCGGCTGACAGGGGCAAGCCTAATCTGATGTTTAAATGGATTTGGAACGTGTCCGTGGCTTTAGCATCTCTGTCCTGAAGGAAGGCCCATCTGCTGCGAGATAACCCGATCTCGGAGGGTGCTCACTTCCAGTCTGTTTGAGAAGAGAGGTGATACACATAAAATCAGAGGGGTTTCCCCAATGCTTCTAATTTGGTGGCCAACAGGCAGCTCACGTTAGAGACCTGAGGTTTTCGCTTGCCTTGCTTTTCCACCCGTGCTCTGCCCAAGTGAAAGAAGATTGGCAGAGAATTTAGTGGGTACTTGTTACAGACCTGGATGGGAAATTGCTCCTGTGTGTAAAACAAATGAATTACTACAAAGAGCTCACAAATTTCTCTGATCACAATCTGTATGAAATCCAGAGAAATCGATTTCAGGTAGATTGGGCAGTGTCTCTGCTGGGATATGAGGAAGTTGGTGACATGAATGGGGTAACAGTGGTATATATAAATGGATAATGGAAATGTCTGTGATAGGGATGGGAGAGTTGGTTTTCTTGTATTTTGACTGGTATCTCTGGAACTCAGGTTACTGCATTGAGAGCTTACAAGCTGCTTTTCCACACTCTTCTCTCCATCTGAGAAGCCTGTACCAGGGCAGCCTGAATGCTGTCGCATGGCTGTGCTGCACCTCTCCTGGTGCAGCGGTAATGGGCAGGCTGAGGGTGAGGGCAGAGCTTGATTGGGCTCAGACAGAGCTGCTAATTTAGGAGACCTGTACCCTGTCATCAGCATGATGAGAAGAATGAAGCTAACGCCTCACTCAGCTTTCCCGGGAGGTTTGATCCACAGTGGCAGTGCTGCAGCTGCAAGCTGTGTGCTGTTCCCTATGGAAAGGGGTGCAGAAGCTCTGAAGTCGCTGGTGTAATTACAGGAGGAGATCCTGAGTGGTGTGGCGGTGTAATGGGGATGGTTTAACAGGGTGGTGTAATGGGGATGTGGTTGGAGTGCACTGCTTGGCACCACAGCAGGAGATAGGAGTGGCGGTGGTGGCTTTCCTTGCCCGTGTGCTACCAGCATCCCAGGGCATCAGGGTGGTGGTGTCCCTGTTCCTGGTTTGTTAAGCATTGGCATTATGTTCCTGCTGGGGGTTTTGATGTCCTGCTCTGGGCTGTGGGGAATGTGATGCTCTGGCACCAGAACCAGGCTCCAGAGATGTGTCTGCCTTTGCTCGCCATCCATCATGGAGCACAGGACTAGGCAGAAGCCAGCACGTGTTGGAGCACAAATCCAGGCACTGCTTGGGGCATGATCCTTCCCTTGCACTGGGCTCCTTGGGGTATTTGGTGGCCATTTGTATGTGGGCTTTGGGCTCTTACCACATCTCAGGGGGCTGCAAGCAGCAGCCTTGTCTTTTGCAGGTGTATTTGCTTGATCCAGGAGCCTTTTTCTGAGGAATTTAACATCCCCTATTGTGGTGATTTCCTGCTTTCTTCTTTTTACTTTTCTTTTTCCAACATACTTTGGATTTCACTTGTCTCGTAGTCACATTCCGTTATTTGTGGCATTTTTTTACTGCTGTTGCCATGAGCACAGTGCTTTGAAAAGTCTGTTTCATGAACTCGGTGCAAATCTGAGCTGTTGGGGTTCGCACATGGTCCATGGTGCTGAGCAGGAGCCTGCTCCATCCCATGCCTGCCGGCACAGTCCTTTTTCCCTGGTAACCTGTGGTGCCTGCTCTGGCCCTGCGGGCTGATGGGGCGTTAGAACTTGAAGCCTTACACCAGAAAATGACTCCAGTATATTTGAATAATTTAGAGCCACAGGTCTTACGTGATTTGTTCTCTAAAGATTGATTTAGCTCCTTATTAAGGGAATTGGGGCTCAGTGTGAAAATCTGAACAAAATCCAGGCAGTTGTTATTTCTTTTAAATATCCACTGGGGTAACTCACTGGGGAGGAGAATTTCAAAGCCTGTCCAAGCCTATCTTGAATATTTGATTCTCTCGCTTTCCAATTCCCGTTCCCAAGGTGTTCTCGTTAAGGAAGAACACCTCAGCATTATTGCCTTATTTTTAAATAAGCCACAATCACTTTAAGGAGCTCAGGATTAAAAAAAATCCACCAATACTTTGATTCCCCCCCTCCAGTTCCCCGAAGTTTGATAACACAAGATGTGGACTGCATTTCAATGGAGGGGTGGGCAGCTGTAATTGCACAGCTCCCCTCTGCTCTGAACATGTGCAAGGACAAGCACAGCCCTCCCCAGAAGGTGGCTGCAGGAGCTGATGCTGCAACCCTGGACCACACGGCAGCAACCGTGGGCATCCCTGTCCTGCCATGGCAACAAGGATGGGAACGATCCCATGGCCCAGGATCCGCATCCCCTGGCTTCCGTAGGGGTCGGGCTGATGCCTGATGCTGGTCCCGGCGCTGGTTCCTGCTCCCGTCTCAGCTCTGTTCTCAGAGCAGCAGTCAGGCTGCTGGAGTGGTGTTTCTCCTCAGACCCCTTGGAACTGCCTTCTCTTCTCTTCCCTCCTGGAGATTTGGTCAACTTGAAAAAGGGAATGGTGAAAAATGTTCTCCCCTGTCCAGCCCATTAATTCCGGCTGCTCAGGACGGAATTAACCTTGGCAAGCCTTCCAGAGGAGAGAGTCATTCTAACCTTAAAAATCTGCTGATTAAAGCTGGTTTCAGGAATTCGATTTCACTTAATGCGTTGGCTGAGCGCCCAGCCTGGCATTAACATAGCCACAGACACGCAGCCCTGTGCTGCCTCGCCCTCCCCAGTAAAGACCCGATAAAGAAACCCCAGTTAATGAAACCCCTTCTGCCTGTTCTGAGCAAGGATTCATTTGAAGACTCCTTTAGCTAAAGGCATTCCACGTTCCCTCCATCCAGTCTCCTAAGGCCAGCCCGGCAGGTAATTCCCTTCTCCTAATGAATTGTGGTGTGGTGTGGAGCAGCTGCCACTGGCTCTTGGTGAGGCAGAGGGACCATCCCTGTCCTTGTTGGAGGTGAGGATGCACCCGCTTCTGTTAACCCACATGTGCCATGCTAGGAGATGTCATCTAACAGCCCTTAACTCATTAACCTTGAAAATCCTCCAAAACAGGGAGGCTCGGACTTCTGAGGTTTCTATTTATATCTTAAACATTTTTTAATGCCTTTTTATGTGAAAATTAATGTAGCTTTTATTGCTGCCATCACTCATTCCGTCCTTCCTCCAGAAGCTGGGTTTCTGGGGTCTCTTTCTCCCACTCCATCTCTCCACAGGCTCAGTCCACAGTGAAGAAAAACCCCTCCTGTCTCTCCAAGGCCAGGGGGTTGCTTACACGTGGATCTCCTTCATCTCAGCTACCCAAGTTAGAACATCCAGCCCCAAAGCATCAACCCAGAACTGGATTCCCATGTCCTGATGTACATTCTGTGAGCCATTAGGAGGCTTTTTGTACCGGTTTGCAGAGATGTTGAGAACCAGTTCTGTGGAGGTGGGCAGCTTTTATGTAATTCATTATTGACACCTCTAGAATTATATGTGAGACAGATCTGGAGGTAGAGAGCAGCTTTCCTACCTACTGACTGCAGGGAGCTACCAGGAGCTCAGCACTAGTGCCTGTCATTACATGTCTTAATCCTGGTGCAATGTCAGTCAGGCTCCCAGCAGCAAACAATGGGTTGCTGGTGTGTATTGATGTGCACTGTACGAGGTGCTGGGGATGTTCATGGATGCTCCTACCTGCTCCGGTGGCGTGCCCCAGACCAGCTTGCCCATCCTCGCTGGGAAGCTGGTCGGAGTGAGAGATGCTGCACCTTCCAGTCCGCTTTCCATAGCAGGGACCAGCTCTGACTCAGCAGAACTGAACATTAAAGACCTTTAAATGCAGCCCCTGGTGCCATGCAGCCAGGAGTCGCTGTCAGGGATTATCTTCAACAAACAGCATCCGCTTTTCCTCAGGCTGAGTGCTGGGATTTAAGTGTTAAGCTTTTCTTTGGATTATTTTCTGCAGGTTTTTCCCCTCTGTTTTCCTCGCTGGTTTTGTGTTGTGGATGTACCCTTGACACATTTAAAAACATTATTAATCTTTGTCATTTGTATTTTAAAAATAACTCCGTGATAGCAGCCAGCAGCCCTTAAATCCTTTTTAATTCAGGCTGACCTTGTGAGCGCAGATCTGGGGAGGAGATGCTGCCATAGCGCCGTGTGCTCACCGGCAAGTGCTGCTGCTTGACAACGCACCGGCATCACTTGGCACTGAGCGTGGGCACCCCCACGGCACCGGTAAACCCTTGATGCCACGTGTCACCCTTCACATCACTAGTGATGCTGTGGCATGAAATACCTTGACAGGAGCTTCCTGAGGTTATAAACCCTAAGTTTTCAGTTTACATACCCTGGTGATGAGACAGAGATGGGTGTGTTGGGTTTTAAAGAATAAAACCATGCTGAAGTGAAGATGCAAGTGCAGCTCAGGGGAGGCTCATGGGTGGCTGTGCTGTGGTGGACTGCTGGGAGGGTGATTCCGTAACCTGTGGTGATGCTCAAATAACTGGGGGGTGCCATAAGCTGCTGTTGAGTGTTCCCAGCCCTGGACCGACTTCAGAACAGCATCCTCTAATAGCAGATAACATGCTGCCAGTCTCTTCCCTGGTGCTGCCTCCTGGGTGATGGTTTCCTTTACTAACCCAACTTTCCTTCTCTGTTCTGTCCCTAGTGCTTGTACGGCTGCTACGTCCATTCCTCCATCATCCCCACGTTTCACAGAAGGTGCTACTGGCTTCTGCAGGTAGGATGATGACAAGTTCCTCTCTCCAGGGTCACCCCGTCAAGGCTGTGTTTGCCTACTGGAGCCTGCGCTTCCTGTTTGTGGGATTTTCTTTGGAAGGAATATGGATTTTGGTTGTTGTATATCTCTGTTCAGAGGCACAATATGTTTTCTCTAGCAGATGTAGAGCTGGTGATAGCTCAAATGTTCCCTAAATAGAGTCAGCTCAAGTGAGACTTTCTGGAGGCTTTTAGTTGTCTTTTCCTGTTCCAAAGCAAGGCAGGCACAGGAGATCGGGAAGCAACTGCGGTACCAGCATGCGATGGTGCGAGAGGGAATCAGCCCCGTGGCTGTGTCTGAATTTGGGCTGAGCCCTGTGGCCAGAGCTGCTTTCAGTCTCAAGGGAGTTCCTGGGGGTCACTCAGTGAGTTTTCTTGGCAGCTGTGGGCACAGTGAAGCCAGGTTTGGGTAGTGGCCTGATCCCCCTCATGTCTGTGAGCTGCGGTGGGGGAGCTTGGGTTCACATGAGGGAGTTTCCCTGGGGTGGGTATTTGCTGGGCTGATGCTCACCCCACCGCTGCAGAGCAACGTTATTGACTGGGTACAGTTGTTACAAAGGGGAAGCAATTTGTTTTGTTTTGTTACAAAACAGCATTTGACAGATATTGTAATGACATTATTGTTTTAAAGATTAAAACCCTGCAGTCCTGAGAGCAAACAGGTCTGAGGGAAGGGACATCTGTTTCAAGAAGCAAATGGAAAATAATCCCTTCTCCTCCCCCGGGTTTTGCAGTTGTGCTTCTGTATCAAAAAGATGATGCTGCTGTTGTCACTGCTGCGTGAAAGACACACCATGACCCTCAGGGGATGGTGCCCACACCACGGATGTAATCAGATGGAATGTGCACAAAATGTCGTTGTCCTCTGTGATGTTTATGTGTGTCTCAGCTCTGTTTGTATCCTGTGCATGTAGTTGCCATGTGGAAGTGAAGGGGAGGATGCTTTGCACCTATAGAAGTCATTAAATATCCATGGTTCAGTGCACTGAGCCGAGCAAACCCTCTGAACTTCGGGTCCTGTTTGCTCAGGGAGCAGACAGTGCTCACATCATTGTTCAGAATCCATCTCTGCCAGTGCCGTGGTGGATGCATTCAAGGAAACACAGGCATTCAAAGGAAACTAAATTCCCACTGAGCACCCTACAGCACCATAGGATCTCCTTACCTGTACCCTGAGGTCTGGCTTGTTCAGGTTCGGAGGGTGTGTGTTGATGTTCAGGCATCCTCTTTGCTCTGATAACTGCTTTGGGTTGAGATGGGTGGGTGGGAAGTACCTTTCTCATGAGGCTGTTTTTAAAACACGATGCAGAATGTTTGGGATGTAGCATACTGGTATTGAGAAACAAGGACACAGTGTGCATTTGCTGTGGGAGGAATGGGGGTCTGTGATTCATGACAGCAACTCCCAGGCATAATGGGCATCCTTCAATCATGCGCTCAAGGTTATGCAGCCGGAGAGGAAAGAGCTGGCCAGGAATAGATGATGCTTTTCTAACATCTGCACAATGTCTGTGTTCAGATCCACAGTGAATTTAGGGGGAGTGAGACCAGAAAGAGAGAGGGAGAAAGTACTTTGTGCATCTGCTTCAGTTTTCTACTTCAACACCACCCAATAAATGACTTTGATACTCCAAAATGGGTACAGAGAGAGCAGTGTCTAACATTAACCTCCAACATAATGTTGGGCTTTTTAGTTTATGGAGCAAATGGGTGATTTTCACTGGTTTGAGAGATAGGTAGCACCTTCCTGGGGCATGGGGCGCTCTGCCTGCGAGTCTCCAGTCAATAGAAAGTAAATACAATTAGTTGGCGATGCCGCCTGTGTTTTATGGGATGATCTTCCTCCAAATCCTATTGTCAGGTTAGATATTGATTAAAAATCCCCATGCAATTGTTCTTGATCTTTTCTGACTAGCAATTGCAGCGTAAAGGCCAAGACTCAAACAAGCCACAGAGACTGCCAGTCTCTCCCCTGCATTTATACTGTGCTGTAGCCATTAATGCCATTACAGTGGTATCCAGTTTCTTACTTAAACAACTTTGCACTGCCATTTATGATGGACACAACGTGCCTTCTCCCTGCAGACTGCTCAAGAGGATAAGAAATGAAATCCAGTCAGCTTGAACTGTCTGGGGGCAAAATGCAGTTTCCTGAGTCTCTGCTATGAGAAGTTACCCTGCCATGGGCAGAGACCATGGCACGGTGGCGGGTTTGCAGTGCAAGGCACCATACATGAGGTTTCCTCTTCTACATGCTGACAGGGGGTTACGTTTTTGAGACATTTTGGGTGTTCTTGATAATGAATTTTAACCGTTGCCTTTCCCCAGACACCTTTAGTGTTTTCAATAGATGTTGTAAATGCTGAGCAAGCGTTGTAGTGTCTGCAGGAGGCAGTCCAGCCCTGGGCACTGACATGGACCTCTTGGAGCTGAGTGAAGGAACCGTCACCGGGGTGATGGTGTTCTCCTACATTGGGTTCTTATAGTTTTCTTTCAATTTCCTGATACCAGAAATAGAGGATCATGCTCTGAGCGAAAGGCAGAGGAGGAGATGGGGCTGAGGATGCCAATGACCTCTCCAAGGGGCGCTGCGAAGGGCTCTTCACTAGCACATCTTTCTTTTATTGCTTTGCATTACTTTTTAGCATCCTAAAAGCAGCAGTGCCCTGGCTCTTCACAGTCAGTCAAGCGCAGAATGGTGCTGCCGAGGCCTTTTTATAGGTATGAGGGATGGCAGGTCCCCAAGCTCCTGGAAAGGCTTCAGCACACATCATGCCACTGGGATGCTGGTTCGGCTGCCAGCAGGACACGCATGTGCAAACAACCCTGTGTGTATTTAGACCTTCACAATGGCACCAGATTTTCTGTCAATGAAAAAAGAGGAAGAAAAAGCCCCTGTTTGTACTCATGATGACTAATGCAGGGAAAACGTGGAGTCTCAGATAGAGACAATTTTCAAACATTGGCACAGCTGAGTAGCACAGTGCAGCGTGTTCTTCTGCAGCGTGGTAATTGGCACCCCAGGCACTCAGAATTACTCTAGTGCCAGGCTTCAGGGCAGGCTGCTGCTTGCAGAGGTTACTGGAGGAGAGCTTCATCTTTACTAGTGATGTGTCTCTTGCTCTCTTCCACTCCTGCGCCCTACAGCTGGAGACTGAGTTTGTTGGACAGGCATCGCTTTCCATCCTGACGTTCTGATACCTTTTTAGTGCTGGTGTTACGGTGCTGGGGTTATGAGAAGTAATACATTAGAAAGGGTATTGCCCTTTTTCTTAATTATGAAGTACATAAACTGTGCTATAGGATCATACTAAAAACTTCTTGTGAATTTAGGCAGGAGCTGAATATTAGTTCTTCATGAGTGGGACAGAGATTCTCCTATCACCGTCTTCCCTGTGATTGTTTGCCTAAATGCGGGAGCAATGTGCGTTTTACACACTCAGGTTTCATTCATGTTAACGCAGACATTTGGTGTTAATTCTGTATATTTTGCCTCAAATTTTCCATTATGTCCTAAGCAAGAAGAAAACCTTCCCGTTTCCTTTTGGCAGCGCCCCGGCAGGGCAGCATTCCCTGTCTCATCACTTGTGCTGCATCAGCAGCATTTTTCCCATCCCTGGCTGGAGGAGCAACAGCCAGCTTGAGGATTTTGGTCTTTTTCAACCCAAATTGGAAGCATTACAATCTCATCAAAATTCCTGAGACTTTTGCTTAGTAATGGAGTTTTATTTTTCATGTGGGTAAAATAGAAATGACTGGGCAATAAAGCACTGGGGATCGTGCACTGCTTGCGGGCACTCCAGGCCTGTGTTGTTGGGGAGCAAGGTGTCAGTTAAGCTCTCAGCATAATGAACCTCTGCACATTTGCTAACGGGAATATAAACTGTTGCTGCTATGACAGCGCATTTTCTCAAAGTGGGTTTCAGCCTCTCTGATGAAGTAAGTGTGTATTGGAGTACAGTGGTGTGCCACACGGTGCCTAACGGCGCCAGCGTGGTTCAGCATCCTGAGCACGCTGCTGGGGTGACCCTCAGCATCACAGAGCAGATGGGCTGGGTGACCCTGAGACAGCAACTGGCTGGTCCAGGGTCCAGGATCCCATCCAGGAGTGCCAGCACTTTGGGATCTATGGCCTTTAGCACTCTTTACCTCTGATGTGTCTTCATGGCCAGTCTGTGCCCCCTTGGAGAGGCTCAGAGCTGCCACAGAAGAAGTGCTTCCGATACCCCCTCTGGCCAGACGTTGATGGCAAAGCTCTGTTTACCAGCGTGGTGAACAGTTAAATAGGTTTAGAAGGTGCCACATTGTGTAAAACTCAAGTTCTGTTTAGCACGAGTGCCCCAGGACTTCATTTTAACTATCATCAGAGATAGCTTTAACGATAACGATTCATGTCTTGCTCTTCTGTACTCCAGTGTCTTAGCGAAATAAAGAAGCAGCAAAAGCCACGGCGCTGCAGTGCTGGAAGACCTCTGTCCTTTGCCTTCAGCATCAGAAACCTGAGAGGAGCCCTTCCTCTTTGATGGGAGCCAGCTGCTACGGCTCTGCTCTTCGTCATCTCCATCCCAGTCACTCCTGAGTCTCCCCGAGGCATCCAGGGCCGCTGTCACTGCCAGCGCTGGTGATGGGCACTGAGAGTCACTCGTGGTGACAGCTGCCCTCTTCTCCCCGCACTTGCTGCCTTTGCAGTGTCTCCTGTTGAGGTTGGAAATGCTGCTCCCAGCTCGTCTCTCTGTCTCCAGCCTGTAGCTCATGGATGTGCAGCTCCTCTTGCCCAAGATGCTCACCTGAAGGTGCTTGGCACATGGAACTCCTGCCAGCTTGAGCAGCCCTGGCAGCACGGGGTTGGCCTGGGCAGGCCAAGGAGGATGGGGACAGCAGCACCCAGCCATGCCAGGGCTTCCAGAAGGGGAGCAGCCCCGGTGATGGTACTTGGGTACAGGCAGTGGTTTGCCTGGGGGT